TGATAACATAACCAAGTTATTTAATAGTTTACCTAAAAAAAATAGGCAAGACTTAACTCATTAAATCAGAACTATACACTTACTAAATTAAACACTCAGGGGCCATTAGTCTAAGGCTGTATCACTACATTCAGTTTCTAGTAACAAACAAACTTAAGTTAGTCTCACAAACAAACCGAACCACAATTTAGGCTTATACCTTTTGCAAGTATCAGCTAATCACAGACCACCATCTCATCACATCATCCCCCAAAATACCTCATCACACTATGCCCAAATAAGGCTTATACTTAAATATAACAATCAGTTTATTTTTCTACTTTGCTTCCTGTTAAGCTTATAAAATCTTGCTGCTTCTACTGCTGGGTGGAATTCTCTGAATTCTTTCTGGTTCTGAGTACTACCTGATACACAGATGGTTCAGTCCAATAAATAAAGTTTAATCCACTGAAAGTTTGGGTTTTTTTTGTTTGTTTGTTTTGGTCTTTTTGAGATAGGGTCTCCCTGTAGTCCCAGTTGGCCTGGAATTCACTATGTAGACCAGGCTGACCTTGAACTCATAGACATCCTCCTGCCTCTGCCTCCTGAGTGCTGGGATTAAAGGTATGCACCACTATGTCCAGATTCAAAGTTTTGTTTTTAACTCTTTTTCCTTGAAGACACCCTCGCCTAGTTGGAATTTATCATGGAGTACCTAGAGAAATAGCTTTAGGTATCTCACATTCTTTGTAGGAAAAACCTACCAGCATTAATACTATTGAATTATAGGGACAGTTTCTCCAAATTATCAAGAACGTTATTTCTTAGTAAAAGTGGTTTAGCTGGGCATGGTGGCACATACCTGTAGTCCCAGCACTTGGGAGGCAGAGGCAGGCAGATCTCTGTGAGTTCAAGGCTAGCCTGGTCTACATAGTGAGTTCCAGGAAAGCTGGGGCTACAGGGAGACCCTGCTTCAAAAAAACAAAAAAAAAGTGGTTTAACAATTTCATCTATAATTTGTAGGTTCTTAATAAGTGTCTGATGAAGAGCTGATGAAAATGTTTGATTAGTTTTGGACATGAATACAGAAAGCTCCCTAATATGAAAATCCAAACCTCTATCTTTAAATGAAATAGCTGGAATTACATATTCAAAACAACTAAGGATTAGCTGGTCATTCAAACTTTGTGTAAGATTTAGAAAGTAGAACTTGGGCTGTTAGGTGGGTTTATATTCTTTTGTATGGAAGATACACAATTACATTAACAAACAACTATATTGATTATATTCACTGAGAGGCTATTAAGTGCCAAATAGCACATTGCCTTATTTGATACATAATTTTGTTAGGCATTATTCTTGGTATTAGATACAGAGAAAGAGATGGTTAAGGAAAGAAAGTGTTGCTCAGTGTTACACAGCAGGTAAGTAGCAGAGATTATTGACAATTACCGATTCTGAACTCTAGGTCTAATGAGCCTATACCACACTGTAGCTGTGCACTTCTTCATGAACGATAACAGTTTAAAAATAGAGCCAACTAAAAACAAAAGAAACCTCTGATGACAAGTCAGGCTAATGGATAATGTTAGGAAGGAAGGGGTGTCCCTTCCTCAGGTTTGTAGAACTAAGTCAAGAAACACAAAATCTAGACCCATGTTGAACAGACTGGCAGCTCCCCAGCCTTTTCAAGACCAAAATCACTTTGACTGCTGCTATACTACTTGGTAACAAACAATCTACTATTACACATGTAGACATAGACTAGAAATAAATATTCCACTTCTGGTTCTTTCAAATTTTTAATCTTCACTTTATCAGTATGTGTTTGTAAGTATGGGCATATGCCACAGGGCATGTGTCGTGGTCAGGGAATCAGTTCTCTCCTTCCACAGTGGGTTCCAGGGTCATCAACTTGTATGGTTAGAGCATTTATCTGCTAAGGCATCTTCTGCCTCCACTTCTGGTTCTTTATGACTTCTAAATAGGTAATTTTAAGGGCAGGCAAAAGCATACATTGGGCTAAAATATTTTTGCCTATCATCTTAAATTCTTAATTTAGCAAGATTTAATGTTGTCACAACGTGTGTGTGTGTGTGTGTGTGTGTGTGTATGCTCATATTTGTGTATGTATAGGTGGGAATATATATGTGTGTGGAGGCCTGAGGCTAATCTTTGATATTGTTCCATAGGAATGGTCCATCTTTTTTTTTTTTTTTAAGAGTCTCTCATTGGGACCTAGGGCTTACCAATTATGCTAGGATGGCTGGTCAGTGAACTCCAGGTACCTGTCTCCACTTCCCCAGAATGTTTTACAAATGGGTGCTGTGGATCAAATTCAGTTCTCAAGCTTGTACTGCAAGTACTTTACTGACTGAGCTATATCCCAACCCTAGTCACAATACTGTGTTTGTGTATGGTATATGCATATGTATGTATTCATATGTCTGTGCGCATCCATGTTCATGTGCATGATTTTCAGACAGGGTCTCTCATTGAGCCTACAGCTCACGGATTCAGCAAGACTAATAGATCAGCGGACTCCAGGGATCTTCCTGTCTCTGCCTTCCCCATGCTAGGATTACAGACATGTACCATCCATCACTCCTGACTTTTTTATATGGGTGCTGGGGATCTAAACTCAGGTCCTCATGCTTGTGTGGCAAGCACTTTACCAACTGAGCCATCTTTGCAGGCCTTCTCTACCACACATTTTTTTTTAACTTTAAAAAAATTTTATTGAGAATTTCATACATGCATATAAGGTGTTTTGATCAAATTCATGCCACGCCCTCCCCTCCAACTCCTCCCATATCTCCCCATCACTTTTTTCTGATAGCTTCATGTACTCTTTCTTCTTCTTTGATATATTTTTTT